AATCCCCTCCCAGCCTTTATCCAGGTACACCTTCCTCTCTTCCCCCCTTCCCTCTGGGGCCACAAAATCTCCCCAGAGCAACTCCCTTGCTCGCTGGACCTGGGTTGTGATTACAACCCGGTAGTAGGGAGTGCCTGTGTGTCAATAGACTGCCTGAGGAAAGGTAGGCCTTCTGTCAGTGAATTCCCTGCCCAACAAGGGAACCTGACCTGGTACTAGAAGATCCAGTAGAGAGTATTTGAAGGAAGAGATGGGCAGACGCCAAGGCAAGAACTCCTCCAACAATCTAAAAAACAACATGAAAACACCAGAACCCAATGACCCTACAATAGAAGGACTTGAACCTCTTAATTCAGAAGAAGCGGGAAAAAATGCCATTATTAAAGAAAGAATATTAAGAGCTGCAAGGGAAAAAGGGCAAGTAACTTATAAAGGTAAACCTATCAGACTCACACCGGACTTCTCTATGGAAACCATGAAAGCCAGAAGGTCCTGGATAGAGGTACTGCAGAAACTAAGAGTCCATGGATGCAAACCCAGACTACTATACCCAGCCAAGCTATCGTTCATTATCAACGGAGAAAACAAAATATTACAGGATAAAAATAAATTTAAACAATTCATAGCTACAAATCCAGCCTTACAGAGAGTATTAGAAGGAAAATCACAACCCAAGGAATCCAACATTCCCAGCACTGCTTACAATAACTCAGACATCTAGCGACCCTTCAAGAGCTTGACTCAAAGAAGGGACACATACAAACTCTATTAATCAAACAAAAAATAATAATAACCGGAGTCAACAACCACTGGTCATTAATATCACTTAATATTAATGGACTCAATTCACCTATAAAAAGGCACAGACTAAGAGACTGGATACGAAAACAGGATCCAACATTCTGCTGTTTACAAGAAACACACCTCAACCACAAAGACAGACATTTACTCAGAGTAAAGGGTTGGGAAAAGGTTTTTCAAGCAAACGGACCTAAGAAACAAGCAGGCGTGGCCATTCTAATCTCCAACAAAATTGACTTCAAACTAAAATCAATCAGAAGAGATGGAGATGGACATTTTATACTCATAACAGGAACAATTCATCAGGAGGAAGTCTCAATCCTGAATATCTACGCCCCTAATATAAAGCCTCCTACTTATGTAAAAGAAACACTTCTAGAACTCAAAGCAGTCTTCAAACCACACACACTAATAGTAGGAGACTTCAACACTCCTGTCTCTCCAATGGATAGGTCAATCAGACAGAAACCTAACAGAGAATTAAGAGAATTACTGGAGGTATTGAATCAAATGGACTTAACAGACATCTATAGAACATTCCACCCAAATAGGAAAGAATATACCTTCTTCTCTGCAGCTCATGGAACCTTCTCGAAAATTGACCACATACTGGGTAACAAAGCAAACTTCCACAGATACAAAAAAATATTAGTAACCACTTGTGTCTTGTCAGACCACCATGGATTAAAGTTAGAATTCAAGAACAGTGCTACCCCCAGGAAGCCAACAAATTCATGGAAGTTGAACAGTCAACTACTGAATCACCCCTGGGTCAAGGAAGAAATAAAGAAAGAAATTAAAGTCTTCCTTGAATTTAATGAAAATAAAGACACAACATACTCAAACCTATGGGACACTATGAAAGCAGTGCTAAGAGGAAAGTTCATAGCACTAAGTGCCCAATTAAAGAAAACGGAGAAAGCACACATTGGAGACTTAACAGCACACTTGAAAGCTCTAGAAAAAAAAGAAGCTGATTCACCCAGGAGGAGTAGAAGACTGGAAATAATCAAACTGAGGGCTGAAATCAACAAAATAGAAACACAGAAAACAATCCAAAGAATCAATGAATCAAAAAGCTGGTTCTTGGAGAAAATCAACAAGATCGACAAACCCCTATCCAAATTAATCAAACGGCAGAGAGAGAACATGCAAATTAATAAGATCAGAAATGAAAAGGGGGACATAACCACAGACACAGAGGAAATTCAGAGAATCATTAGATCTTACTACGAAAATTTATATGCCACAAAGTTGGAAAATGTAAAAGAAATGGACATTTTTTTAGATAAGTACCATATACCAAAGTTGAACCAAGAACAGGTGAACAATCTAAATAGACCTGTCAGTCGTGAAGAATTAGAAGCTCTTATCAAAAATCTCCCTACCAAAAAAAGCCCAGGACCAGATGGTTTCAATGCAGAATTCTACCGGAACTTCCAGGAAGAGCTAATACCTATACTCCTTAATGTATTTCACAATATAGAAACAGAAGAATCACTGCCAAACTCTTTTTATGAAGCTACAGTAACCCTGATACCAAAACCACACAAAGACACAACCAGGAAAGAGAATTACAGACCAATATCACTCATGAACATTGACGCAAAAATACTCAATAAAATACTGGCAAACCGAATCCAAGAATACATTAGAAAAATTATCCATTATGATCAAGTGGGCTTCATCCCAGAGATGCAGGGCTGGTTCAACATACGCAAATCTATCAATGTAATCCATCATATAAATAAACTGAAAGAAAAAAACCATATGATCATTTCATTGGATGCGGAAAAAGCATTTGACAAAATTCAACACCCATTTATGATAAAGGTGTTGGAGAGACTGGGGATACAAGGATCATACCTAAATATAATAAAAGCAATATACAGCAAACCGTCAGCTAACATCAAATTGAACGGAGAGAAACTCAAAGCCTTTCCACTAAAATCAGGAACACGACAAAGCTGTCCACTCTCACCATTCCTCTTCAATATAGTGCTTGAAGTTCTAGCAATAGCAATAAGACAACATAAGGGGATCAAGGCGATTCGAATTGGAAAAGATGAAGTTAAACTTTCGTTATTTGCAGACGATATGATAGTGTACATCAGCGACCCCATAAACTCTTCCAAAGAACTCCTACAGTTGATAAACACCTTTAGTAATGTGGCAGGATACAAGATCAACTCCAAAAAATCGGTTGCCCTCCTATATACAAAGGATAAAGAAGCAGAGAGGGAAATCAGAGAAACATCACCTTTCATGATAGCCACAAATAGCATAAAATATCTTGGGGTAACTCTAACCAAGGAAGTGAAAGACCTATTTGACAAAAACTTTAAGTCTTTGAAGAAAGACATTGAGGAGGATACCAGAAAATGGAAAGACCTTCCCTGCTCTTGGATAGGGAGAATCAACATAGTAAAAATGGCAATTCTACCAAAAGCAATCTATAGATTCAATGCAATTCCCATCAAAATCCCATCAAACTTCTTTACAGACCTTGAGAGAACAATAATCAAGTTTATATGGCAAAACAAAAAACCCAGGATAGCCAAAACAATCTTATACAATAAAGGAACCTCTGGAGGCATTACCATCCCTGACTTCAAACTGTATTACAGAGCAACAGTATTGAAAACAGCTTGGTATTGGCATAAGAACAGAGAAGTCGACCTATGGAATCGAATAGAAGACCCGGGTATTAACCCACAAACTTATGAACACCTGATTTTTGACAAGGGAGCTAAAGCTATACAATGGAAGAAAGATAGCATCTTTAACAAATGGTGCTGGCATAACTGGATGTCAACCTGTAGAAGAATGAAAATAGATCCATATCTATCACCATGCACAAAACTCAGGTCCAAATGGATAAAAGACATCAACATTAATCCGACCACTTTGAACCTGATAGAAGAGAAAGTGGGAAGTAGTCTACAAGATTTAGGCACAGGAG